TCAATGAACTGTCTGAAATATTATCCAAAAAAAATTTTTTTGAAGCACTTTTTTGAGCATTAGCAACCAAAATCTGATTTTGAGGAAAAAACACCTTAAAATTTTGAGATTTTTCCAGTAAGCTATCAAAGCTTGTGTTTCTCTCCAGCTGGGAAATCTTAATATTCAATTACTATTTGAGGTTTCTTTTTAAAAATGACATAAAAAATCTTCATTAAAATTACATAAAATTATTGTTTAGACCAAATATTTATGTATTGTTGTAACCAACAAGACAAATTAAACAATATCTTTGGATCTACTAATGATATCAGGATGATCTAAGTATCAAAATGTAGCTTTTAAAGCCAAGAATCAGAAATATGATTAGGTCATTTTGATCAATTTGACTTAATCCTCATTTCGATGTGATGGATCACATTTATCCACATTTCAGAATTTACATGTCAGTATGTCTGGAAAACTCCTGAAATGTGCAGTTTGAAAGAGTTGTGATTAAACACATTAAAAATATGTATATTATCTATTGCTTGGTATTTTATTTTCCTGGCACAGATATATGAGATATATGAACTTATTCATTTGTCTTTCTTCTACAAGCTGAAGGATTTTTTACATCTGAGTTAATTTTCATCAATGGTTCATCTCCTGATTGAAGATAAATATTCTCCTGTGGACAAACTGTGTCCAGTACCAGTGTAAGAGATCCTGATGGCCCGGACAGGAGTTCCAGCCAACTGGATGGACTTGCAGTGGAGAAATTTGAACCCAGCATCGCTCATGTCTTCATCTGTCAGCTTCTGGAGAACCTTCCTGGAACTGGGTCCTGCAATGCCAAGCACGCCAATCTCATCCGTTACGTTACTGATGTCTACTTCGTATCGGCCCTCTGCTGCCTCCGTTTCTATCCACCTGAGTCAAACAAAAACAGCAATCGGTTTTAATATTCTCATAGCATAAAAAAAGGTGAGCTTGTTGAACTTAGTGCAGTCTTCTTGTGATGGCTGGCTAACTTTAAAGCCAAGTTGAAAAAGCAACAAAGAGGTCAAATGAGACAGATCAAACTCCTGTGGACTGGGGTCAACTGAGAGCCAAGAGAAGATGCTGGACGACTGACAACGAGCAGCAGAGTCAGCTTAAATTTTCTTCTTGTTTTATATTCAGTATCAAACAGTTACATTTGCAGAGGTTTTTCTAATCTATCGCTAAGAGGTATTAAATGAAAAAGTTGTTGATAAAAAGTAAAGAACAAGAAACCAGTTCTCTTTCTTTGTGCTTTAAGTTGTTTGATCTAAGTGAGCTTGAAACAGGGGTGTTCAACTCATTTAGACAAGTGGCCAAATCAAAAAAACTCAGTCAATATTTATTTTAAAAAAACTAATCACTTTTAATGTGTGCTTATATTTACAAATGATCCTTTTCCCCAGTTATAGCTTGAAGCTAAAGTTTGAGTAACTGATGCAAATCTCAGCCACTTGAGGGCGCTGCATTGTATAAAGATCCCTTGTCTCTTGGGTTTTGGTGAAGTGTTGCTTACAGAGAAGTGTACTTTACTGCCTTCTAACTGGAGCAAATGAAGGGGTGTTGTGCCAACAGCTACAGGACAGTTTTAAGTTTCTGTGGTCAAAAACAAACAGAGAGAGAGTTCTTCAGCAGATCTACTCTGTCGACGCCTTCAGCTCTGTGCAGAGGGCGTGAACACTGATGTACATTTAAAAACTAAAAAAAGGAGAAAGAATTGTGCTGCAGAGGGTCAAGAATTTTATCTAATTCTTGTCTTAAAGCTTATTTTGTCTATGCTGTACGTTGTTGTACATGAAGTTAGATTTTAAATTCCTAGAATTCCATTTCACACATAAAGCACGTTTCCTAAACCAAACGATGATTCAAATTAAATGGGGGGGGGGTTATTAAAATCTGTCCAGTGATCAGAGCTGTAAAGTAACTAAGTACAAATACTTCTTTACTGTACTTAAGTAGAATTTTTGGGTA